TTTGCTAAGAGATGTAAGTTAGCTAGTTGTGAGCAATGAAATGAACAGAGCATTTGAAGTTTTTATGGGGAAATATCTACAATGTATACCAGTTTTAAGACTGTTTGTAGTTAAACAAACCCTCTTTGTTTCCTTTAGTCTCTCATGCATTGTATCCTAGTTGATGTACTGTAAATGGAACTGATGATTTTACAGTGTAACAATTATTTATCTTTGCATAAATGTTTGATACAAAATATTTGTTTAGTATTTATTTGCACACTTAACATAGTTTTTGATCCTCAAGGACACAAATTATTTTATTAAATATTAACATGGTTGCTGGCAGAGATAGCCACCATATTGTGACATCGATCTGATGTGGCAAAATTCAAGGATTCATAAAAGTAATTTGATGTCATATAATGAATTCACTTCACCAGGGAATGACCATAACTTTTTTGACATACTGGTCCAAGGTCAGCATAAATAACTTGGCAAGTGACACCTCACCAGTGAGGTGTTCTTTACAGGCAGCCATTAGTTGTTATTTAAGTAAAATATTTTTTACTTTTTCTGAGAAAAAAAAATAATCACAATGAGCAAGAGTTTAGGATTAAAATTTCTTGTTTTAGTAAATCTGTGTAAAAAAGACATTAAAGATCATTTAAATATAGCTAATAGTTTGTTAGGAATAATGTAATGCTGGATCAAAGAGAAGACAAATGGCTTTTCTTGCAAGTGGCACTAATAGATTGATCCCAACATTACTCAGACTATTAGCTAGAAAAGCATTAATTATGTTAATTGATAGACAGATTTAGAGGTAACCCTGATGCTTTTAAAGTCATCTTTTAGGGTTATTATTAAGCACATTAACGTCCATTCTTTTTGGTTCCTTAAGAGCTTTCTGTGCCATAAGAATGGCTTTACCAGTCATTAGGAGGAGATCTTGGGGTGGTAGCAATAGCACTCTGGCTGATTTGTTGGTGACAGTCTGGTGCTGCAGCAGAAAGTTAAGGGGCTTTGCTGCAGTTGCAGCAAGAGTTCAAGGGCACGAGTTCAAGGTAATTGCCTTTACGTTAAGATGGATTCAAAACTGCTGCTGGGTGGAAGTCGGGGAGAGACTTGCAGGAGCAAAACTGTATTGCTCTTTGGGTTGCCTACGCTGTGCTAGCTGATGTTAACCACAGCTTTGAGTTCAGAGACAGATGCTATCAATTTTTCTGAGTAAAGAAAAAACATTTAAAAGTTCAATACCACCAATACTCATTGTGTGATGCTATTGCTGAAGCACTTTTGGAAGCATCTTAAAGCTGCTGTTATGCCATGTTTTTCTTCCTCTTTGAAGAAGCAGCCTTCTGTAGTTCAGGTTAAGTATTGCTATTCCTACTTAAAATAGTCCGTAGTTTTTCCAGTCAGTCACAACTTCTTTCTTTGCTCAATCTCTTACTTCAATTTCCTTTGCAGTGATTGTAAATAGAAAATACTACGATCCTGTGTGAGCACCAAGACCAGAATTGTTTTTCTCCTGGCTTAAATATTGCTCAACTCAGAGCAAGAGATTCCTTTCTCTTGGGAACAGTTGTGGTAAAAAGAACTTACTCTTTTTTTTTTTTATGGTTTTGAAGGATTAACTCCCTTTAACTTAAGTATTAACTATTTCTTTGTGCTTCCAAAGAACATGTAAAGATGTAGCAATCGATATTACGATTAATGCAGCAGAAGTGATACCTTCAGATATCTTTCTTACAGGGTGAAGGCGATTGCTGGGCAGTTATCAGCATAGATCAGTCTTAAACTCTTGTATGAAAGAAGAATGGAAAGTGGCATGCAATGCTTTTATTATAATGTGCTCAGAGCCTATATGTAAATAAGAAATATTGGTTATTGGGACAAAATATTTCCATATCATATCACCTGCTTAGGGGAAGGAAATAGTCTCCTTCTATATGTTTCCTTCACTTAAGATGTTGTTCCTAGATACTAGATAAAATCTAAAGAAACTTAAAAATCCTATGTAAAAGACTGCAAACAGTGCACAGGTCAAACTTAGTCTTATGACTCCTGCCTTTAAGCTAGTAATTCTTTTCATGCAAAACATACAAATCCCATACATACACAAATTCTTTCATCTTTATTTCCCTTATTTCCACAGACAAAAGGAAATTGGAGTAAGGGTAAAAGAGGAAAGGGGGAAAGATAAGTGTGTTGCACACTTGCAGAGAGAATACCTAGACATTAGACTTTATGCTGGTTGGTTGGGACTTAAAGAATCCAGAAAAACAACAACAGGTATTTACGTGACGTGGTCCATTAGTGGCAACAGAATTGCTATTTCAAAAGAAAAAAACAACAAGAACAACAAAACCCCCCAACACTCTGTGTGCTTCGTATTGACATTACAATCTACAGAATGGAGAAAAGGAAATGATTTCCAATTTCAGGTGACAGATTTCCTCGACTAAAGCCACTTGGAATAAGCTTGTTGGCTTTTCTGTACAGCTATGGGATCCCCTCCTCATGCTGACCACCTTCCCTTTGCTCCCTGCCTCTCTAAATCTCTTCGAAATGGCAGCAGTAGGTGAGGCAAGGAGCCGAAGGATGAACAGTAAAGCTTAGCTAGTCCTCGGATGGGTGGCATGGCTTCAGTTTGGCATTTTAAAAACATTATACTCCCACCACCACTATATTCCCTGGGAAATATAATTATTTTTTTTTTCCATAGTGATCGTGGCCTTTTGCAAGTAAGAAGCACCTGAAAGAGAGAAAACTCTTACTTTTTTCTTTAATATTTTAACCTCTTTTGGCTGCAAGCAAATGTAAGTCAGCATCCTGCTTCTGCCCTTTATTTCAAAGCACTTTGGAGCTGTGATTCAGTTGAAAATAATCCATGCTGCCCATCTGTTTTAACATAGTAATGGCTGCTTTCTCCACAGGTTAATATGCAGGCAACTGAAATAATGGATGCTGAATGAAGGCTAGAATGTGGTTGACTAAGGTTATGCTAGTTTTATCCAGACATAAATTAGTTGAAATAAAATGTTTATTTTTAATTATACTATTCTATATTACATATATGTTTCTACGCCAGAGTTTGTAATAGGAAATTTTTCAGTCTGATGGGATGGTTTATTAATGTGTACCTCAAAATACATCTATGCTTTGCATTTTGGAAAGCAAAAACCACACTTAAATAAAAGTATATTACTGTATTTCTGGGAAGCACATTTTCTAGTGACTGAATCTGCTTTGAGTTGGCTCTTGTATTTCATTAACAGACTGAAGCACAATTTACAATAGTGATGTATGGTAAATAATGCAGAAATCATGTCACATTTTAATTAAGCATTTTAATGTAATTGCTTCATCCGAATCAATTTATACTGACAGCAGAATACACTTTATTTTCAGTCACTGTTTACAAGTGAAGGAGAGTAGCAAGAGAAACAGTAGTCCGCTATGAAAGACAGGATTTGCAACTTTAACATTTTAATGCTAAAAACTGTGTGGTTTATATGAAAGAAGGTGTTTAAAACATCTTTTATCTTCTCTCTGGCTTAATTACATCTGTCTCTGTTCCTTGTGGTCACAGATGTATTGATAAAGCCTAAGTATTTTGGTCTGGACCTAGTCCTTTAATGCTTATGCAGACCTGAAAACAGTTTGGGACGTGATATTTTTGATCAAGTGACTGCCAGCCTGTGTTTGTAAGCCGGTCTTCTATGCCGAGCACTTCGTATCTGCATTTAGCGTTGTAAGTACCAAGTGTGGGAGCTCCTTACAAAAATCATACATCTGTGTGTATATGTGTAAATACACATACGCAGTAAGTCAGCATGCATTTTGTATTTTCATGCAGTACTTTGGAATTTAAAAATATATTAAATTCCTATACTAGGCTGAAAACAGAAATAAAGGAAATGCTTCATATTACACTAGCATTAAGACACCATTAAATTTAAGGCATTTCAACAAGTAGAGCTTATTTAGAAAAGATCTCAAGAAGATAAAAAAAACTTTCTTCATATTCTTTCCCCTTTAGACTGCTGTAGCGGGCTATCATGATAGTTTTTGAACAAAGCACAAAATCAGTATTAAAAGTAACCAGTACAGAAGCAGCATGTAATGTATCAAAGGAACCCTATTACTTTTTATTCACCAGGAATAGCTGATACTCATTATTGTCAGATGTTTTAAAAAAACATTACTTTTTATGAGAGGAGGTTGCAGTATTGTGAGTCTGTGCTTGGGTCTACACAAGCACATATCTATAATTGCTTGAATAATTGCCAAAACACTTGCCTAAAAAGAAAACGAAAAAGCTGTATTCAATCCTTCTTTAACTGTATTAATTCCAGACAAGTTACACAAGAGACAACTTTTGGCTTACATTCAGTTTATTCATTAGAAAGCAGCATGATACATGATCAGCCTTTATGCACAATCCATAAACCTCTTTCCAGAGCTTTTTGTAATAGACAAGACAGAAGAACTCCCGTGAGCCCAGTTTAAACAGATAACATAGACCTTCATTTTGATATGTGGTGAGATTACCGAGAAGAGTTGACCATGCGTTGAAATGAAAATGTGCATTGAAAAATACAATTTAAAAATATAAAACCAGGTAATGTTTGGCCTGAAATTAATAATGTAGACCATTTTTCAATAAAGCATTTGCAGTTTGCAAACTTCTTTTTTTACCGCCCATACTTTGTAAAGTTCTCCACTATGCATTTAATGCACTGGTGTTCCAATAAACTGTTTCCCCATGGTCTCATATAAAAGAAAACCTAAAATGGTAAAACTATTTATTAACAACAAAACCACAGCATCTATTTTGAAATATTGCTCTCAGTTGGTAATGGAGTTCTCAATTATTAATATTTTCCTGCCCAAAATTTAAATATTTATTCGGTTTCTCCAACTGTGAGATTGAAATGCCAGTCTGGTTTTACATCATTATACAATGGCTTACTTTCAACCTCTAAATTTTATTTCTATCATTAAAAAATATCAAGCTAGTAGATTATTTTTCTGATCCAGTCCACAAACATGGTGACCCGAACATACACTCCTGGTCGTTTGGGAAGTGCACACTCATAGCCAAATGATACTACACCAACCAGAAACCACTTGTTACCATCTTCAGATGTCAGAGGGCCACCTGAATCTCCCTGTGATATGAAATTCAAGAGTTAAAAGTGAACAGTGTCAATTCTGAAGCAGAGCCTATTTGTGATGTTTTGTTCGTGTTGATCCTTAGTAGTCGACATTGTATCCCTATGCCTTGCGCACCAGAAATGAGATCAATAGCAATTCTTCCATGTGCAAAAATTCTTGAGATAATCCATTTCTTTTTTTTTTTTTTTGAATTTTTTTTTTTTTTAAAGGATGTGATCTTAAGCTCATAACAGTCTTTCAAGACAGGACTGGGTTTCAAATTTTTTTTTTCTTTTTAGTTTTACATTTAGCCCTTCATCTTTCACAAAACCTGGGTAAATATGTAGGATTATTTTTTAGTTGAATCTATTCAGCCAAAACGCACTTCTATTTTCGGTCACCCTGGAGTTTCTGCAATTTTAGAATTAAAGAAAAAGATGGCAAGATTGCCAGAAGAGGAGGTTTCCTTTTCTCACACCTACTTGTCAATAGTTTAGCAGATGCAGCATTGCATTAGCGTGTGGGAGACCAAATTTGATTCACCCTACAGCCTGAGTGAGGGATGAGTCAGCCATGAGTGTCTTGTTTTGATGAGAAAGAAAACAATGACTATTTTTCATTGTCTATCGAGTTAGTTGAACCAGTATTATTTTTGTCTTCTTATGGCCCTGTGAACGGAGCTTTACGGGAGAGTTCTGCAAGGACTCGGCCATTAAAATACTTCTGCCTGTGACTCTAGGGCATCCACAAACGTTCAAAGGCTGTGACAGCAGCCTAAAGGCTGAAGCGCTATCAGGGCTCACTTGTTCGCCTTTGCTTATGGGTGAATGGTCATTGATCACAACGCTGGTCACTCGTACTCTGTATCACCCTATGGTGCTACACTGCTTTTTTTCAGTATGAGGTTCAGAAGGCAAAAAAAGAAAGAGGGAAGGCACAGAGGCTGAATGAGTGGCAAATGAAATTAGGCTTGTATACATTCCTCCTTCTAGACTAAACTAGCCAAAGTCACCGCACCTGATGAAGGCTTAGGTTGTGAGGACAAGGTAAGAGCAATTACATGAGAGTGCTCCTCATCAGACTTGAGGAGAACCAACCAGTCTCTATGCCATAGATCCCATATTACTGGAAGAAAAATGATGCAACAGCAAACTCCGACTACACCCTTAAGGAGAAGCAGTGTGTTACAAGCAGAGCTGGAAGGGATAAAAACTAGAGCCCCAGGAAGCAGCATGTGAGATCAATGCAGAAAGGTAGCCTCTCCAAAATACTGTGGCAACCACTTACAGAAGGTCTCCAGAGTCTACAGATTCTGGGGAAAAGCATCATTG